GAATGAAAGTAGTAATGTGTAGCGGCAGGAGGGCCCTAATACGCATGCTCCAGAGTTATGACTAGCTTCTCAGTGTTAAGAGAGAATGTCTTCGTTCCCGGCAGGAGGTGCTGCTAGCTCGTTACAAACTCTTTCCTTCTTGTTCCCCACACTGAGGTTTCCTGTCCTCATTCGTGTTCTCTCTACCTCTTTCCCTCCCTTGCTGTCCTATATACCTTCCCTTCTTAAAATCCTTCTGTCCCACACAAAAGTTTGGGCCCCTCGCTCTCATATACCCATTGCCCCAAGGCCAATCTCTCAGCTTTTTAAGTCTCTCTACACATGCAAATCCTTTACACAATGGAGGGGGGGGAGAAACTCTAGCGTTCCTCAGCATTGCAGTTCTGGATTCACGCTCCCCCCAAACTGAAACAATGTCCCTCAAAGTGACCCCCCTTTCTATTTCCAAACACTGCAGTTCAGAATTCTTTGCTCTGCTTCCCTGGCTGGCTGGCTTCCTTGCTTCCTCTCTCTATGCAGTGAACACCCCCCCCTCCCTCTTCAAACAGTTTTGCACAGGAACTCAAGTTGCTGCTGCTGACAAGGACCCTCACCTCCCCGGTCCCTCTTTTTCGTATATTAAAGCTTTGCTGTCTTCTGAACTGCAGAGACAGCAGGTTGAGCAGGGGGGGGGGGAGGGGGCACCGCAGTGCAGTGTGGAAACCCCAGAGTTTGGAGTGCAAAGCAGGCATTGGGCAGCCTGTGGCAGCTTCCCTCCCTCTCCCCCCACCTCCTTCTCTCCCAGGCAGTGGGTCTCAAATCTGCAAGCACTGTCAGATATCCTCATCGATTCCCCTCCCCCTCCTTCCCCCACACAGTTGGGAGCACAGCCAGGAAAAGTTGCAGTGGGAAGGAAGATGAAGAGAGAAAGCAGGAATTTTAGTACCAGGGAGGGGGCCACGGATGTGGATGGTAGGAGCCGAGATTATGAGCTGGTGCTGCATTGGGCGGGCATCAAGTCAGGAGTTTCCATAAATGGAGGAGAACAATTTGGGGACTAGAAATCACCCTCCTTTGTACAATACTGTCCCCCCCCCTTGTTTGCATTTAAACAAGATTTGATTTACAGTTTTAGTAGCCTCCCCCGCCCCAACTCACCCAACCAAGAAAAATAATGGGAATAAGATATTAATACTTACTGAAGACTGTGGAAGGAGACTTTTCATTGCCTAGCCCATGGTTCCTGAAATATATCAGCATGAAAAACCTACAGAAAAAGGCTGCAGAGATTACTTAAGTGGCCCAATTTTAGCATTTCTTCTGTCTTTCTCCTACCCACCACCTGCATCAACTTTCCGACATGGTAAAAAGAAAAGGAACAGAGGTGGGCTAGAAAGAACAGGTAGACAACTAGCTAGAAGAACAGAACAGAGGTTAGGTGCATAGAACAAACTCTTCTGCAAAAGATCTCTCCAAAACCACATTTGCTGAGTTTCCATCTAAGAACCATGATGGATGTATTTACGGCAAAGGCAGGATGGAACTTCAAAACTGCATATTTGATAACGCTTATCGGATAGCTGCATCTAACAGCTGGAATATTGAAAAGTTGAGTGTGTACATAGAGAACTCCTAAGCAGCTCATAAAGACATGCATATCTGTAGATGGATCCTTCATCCCCTCCAATTATCAAGTTTTTCATCTGTTTATGTAGTTTTTTTTTACCTTTGTTTTACTTTGTTTCTTTGTGTCTTTCTTTGTTTCCTTCCTTCCTTCCTTTTTCTTTTCTTTCCTTCCTTCCTTCCTTCCTTCCTTCCTTCCTTCCTTTCTTCCTTCCTTCCAGACACTGTTCAATTCTCAAACTTTTAAAATTCCTTTAAAGAATAAAGACAAATTGTTATTTATATCACGTGCATCCCAGAATTACTTCAGTAAATATATACTTCCAATAATGTGGATAAGGGAATAGATTATAGAGCATATTATGCCAGTTGAATTAATTCACCGGCTGTGTATTGCAAATATAAGCATGTTACTGGAAAATAAATCCCATCATACGCAGTAGGATTTTCTTCTCAGTAGAAAGTGGTTAGGGTTATCGTCAAAGTTTTCTTCTCCAGAATATAAATGTTTCCTTTCATACAATAAAGGCATATACTGTACATAGAAAAAAAAAATTCCACGGCTTCAGAGACTGCATTTCCTCCACACTGTAGATGGACAACTCAGTATAGCATTGCATGGACCTCTCAAGTTATCTTTCCTTGCAGGTTCCACTTTAGTTTACCTCCCTTTTGAGGTGAAGAATGTATAGAAAATATAGCATAAGCTTTTTCATACTGTTTAAAATAAACAGGAAATGTCAGGTGCAATCCAAATAATAATAATAAAACAACTGTGGCAAAAGAAAATGAAGATACCACTAACAGTAATAAGCACCTTGGGTGCAATTTCAAAACATCTGGAGCACCACTTGAATACCATCGAAATTGACAAAATCATCATCAGCTGATTACATCCTATGACAATACCTTTAATATTATTAAACAACAACATCTGCCTGTCCCAGATTCTTGGGAAAGACTGAATAGGTGGGCAAAAATGCCAAATGCGGTCTAAACATCTGGCTACTATGCTACCAATCATCATAATATTAATACATTAAATTTGTATCCCACCCGATCTCAATTATTTATGGGGTTGTATATACTCTTACTTCTATAGTGATTTTGTACCCTTCCCGTTATTCATTAACTATAGCTGTTGTGTCCTCAAAAATTAATAACTGCATTTACACTGCAGAACCATATTCTTAGTTATGGATGATTGATAATTTGAGAATCCAGTTTACCATCAAAATGTGCATAAGGTCATCTGTATCATTTCAGCAACAAAAACTTTTTAGGGTGTTCTGAAGACATTAAAGAAAGAGGGATGGTTCGTTGATGGTGGTAAAAAAACCAGAAACTGGTCATGTGCGAATAGAATGACAGTAAGAAAACAGTGAAAGAGGAAAACACAAATTAAATAGCCTTAAGATCCCCTTTAATATCTTCCCTTAACTCAATTTATCATGATCATCTTTAAGAGATTCTTCAGGATACGGTATGTGCCATTTTTTAAAACTTTATTAGAAACATATGCAAGAGGAAAAGAAAAGGGGGACAGAAATGAAGGATGAAAAATCAGAAAAAAATCTCAGAACAAATCTGTTTCCTGTTAAATGGGGGACTTGCTAAAAAAAGAAGAAAAAGAAGAAGGTCATCCAATATGCCAGGAAATTTGCATGATGGAAAATAAATGCAGACAGTTATCTTTTCCTAATATTACAACTGTTGAATAGTGGGGTTCTTTTTTTACAGTAGATCTGCACTTTTGACTAAAATAAGGAAGCCAGCGCTAATTTTAGCATCATAAAAAAAATCTCAGTTATTTTTCCCTCTGCAGTACCTGGCTGACCTTGGCTGATCTCAAAGAAAATAAAGAGTCACCTAGTTATAGTATTTGGGTGGGAGACCACTAAGAAATTCCAGAGCGGCAGTTTGCACTGGAAAGTTCGAAAACAAATCAGGAAGATAGTGATAACAAGCTATATCCAAATCATTGCTAACTAGCTTGACTCAAAGCTGTCTTTCCCTTTAACATAACCCTGCAGTTAGAATTCATATCTGATATATTCCTCCCATATATTTGGTTCTGAAGTTGTACTCTGATCTAAGAGTAATTGAGTCACTCAAAATACTAACGCTAGTCCAGCAGAATAAGATCTACCGGAGTTAAAATTATATTTTAAACTAAATTTACTTCTGCTTCTCTATCTCATGTTCATTCACAATATTATACATTTTTTTAAAAAAATCTCAAATCTGAAAGAAAAAAGCAAATCTTTGGGGCCTTTAGGGGTGCCTCCAATCTCATGACCATGTATATCTCCCTTTTCTGTTTCTCAAATCCTGAACAACCCAACTGCGTTCTCTTTTATATTAATTTTTCTATTGCAATCACCCTTGCATGATTAAACAGAGGTGCAGAATTTGTGGTTCAACTTCTTGGGGAATGTAAAGGAGGAAGGATGTGAAAGGAGATAAATAAGAGGGTTTTAAAAAGGCTTTTAATGATGCTTGTGAATAATGACTGCAGAAAGGGAATAGATTCCAAACATTGGCAAGAACCAGTTATTCTTATTTATTGCAGTGAAGAGCTCAAGAGGCATTTTGGTTCTTCCAGCACATTAGCTATACACTTCCTCACTCAGTGAACCCACAAGTCTTGACACCCAACAGCCTTTGTCTGAATTTAGCAGTCTCCATTTTACTTCCACAACTTTCTGAATTCAGTTCGTGACCACCATTCTGACCTGCAAGACTGGCGTCCTTCCCAGTCCTCACTGCAAGCTCTCCATATTTTATTGTCCTACTATTCAAAATCGTTCCAAAAAAATCTGTCAGGATTTTAACTCATCCCTCAGACCACTTTATCCCACTTTCCCCAATTTAAAAGCCAGTCATATTAATTCACTTCTCCTAGTCCTTTCTCCCCAAATTCCAATTCCACTTCACAGTATAGTGCCTAACAATGTCATTCTTTTTTTTGGTTTTGATCCATGATCCTTCTTTGCTACTTCATTAAAGACTCAAAAACAATTACCTTCCTCAAATTCAGAACCCTGCAACTCATTTCTTTCTGTTTTAAATCAACAAATATGTAGAATAGTTTAAATTTCAGTAAGATGATGTATTCTATTACAGATATTTACTTCTTGTCTTGCTTGAGAATCTCAACATATCTCATTAGGTTCTCCACTTTCCCGGAAGACTAGATGTAACCCCTCATTTCTGAAAGTTCAGAAGTCTTAATTTTGCATCATTTCTTGCATATCTTTCACCCCTAGTACAACCGACTAGCCTTTCACAATACCCTAGATCAGGCTAAAAGCTTTCATTGTTGCATAAAACCAACTATTTACCTTAGCATATTGTAGGAACAATTGCATAATGTTAACCATCTTAAACACTCTAATATGGGTTTGGAGACCGGTATGGTATGTGCTTCCAGCCATACAGATACTTGGTTGACCTTAGATGGCTTTCACATATGTTTCAAGAACTTTGTACCACTCCCCTCTTCAATTTTATTTGATTGTCTTTTGTTCCAACTTCTTGTTGAAGGGCTTACTAATTAGTGTCTGATCCCTTTATTCTAAGGCTTTCCATACCAAGCAAATATTTTCTTTTCTATCTCTCCTACTGCTGAAAATAGAAAAACCCTTTTTGTAGAGCTGAAATTGGGCTACTGCAGGTTTTAATCCAGACTTCTTTATGTTGCTCTCCGTGGTACTGAACTGCAGTATTGCATCCAGCAGTAGCAGCTGATGGAAAGAATGCACGCATAGGAACAAGAACAGAAGCAGAAATGTTCTCCTACTTCCAGACCTTGCTAACTGAGGTTACTCTATCATTAAAAATAAAATAACATTGAGGGTTTCGCATAAGGTGTCATATGAGGATGATAAATGCAATATCTCACTCAGCTATTACAGAGAAGAAGAATAGAAAAGAAATAAGGCCAGTGAGGTTCTGGAAAGCAATATTTGTGTGTTTTGTGTGTGTGTGTGTTGTGTGCATATGTGTTTAAAGCACTGTTGAAAAATGTGTAGTAATCATGGGACATTGTAATTTCAGCATAATTACTTTTTTCTGTATGAGTTTACAATTAAAATCATGGTTTAAAGAACAAAGATAGGACAATAGAGTGAAATCAAAGTGGATGATGGTGCACACGCGCACACACACACACAAAAGGAGAATGACAAAAGAGGACTGACCTCATTCTTATCCCACTTTTCTAGCTCCTGAGTTCTTTCTTTTGTTATGGCAAAAGGACGGATGTGCAGATAGTCCTTGACTTACAACCACAACTGAGCCCAACATTTATGTTGTATGTGAGAAATTTGTTGTGAGCCCTGCCCCATTTTATGACTTTTCTTGCCACATTTGTTAAATGAATCACTGCAGTTGTTAAGTTCATAACACGATTGTTAAGTGAATCTGGCTTCCCCATTGATTTTACTTGTCCTCAGGTTGCAAAGGGTTACATGATCCCATGACACTGCAACTGTCATAAATATGAACCAGTTTTAAAGCATCTGGATTTTGATCACGCAACCATGGGGATGCTGCAATGGTCATAAGTGTGGAAAATAGTTATAGGTCCCTTTCTACAGTGCCTTTGTAACCTGGAATGGTCACTGAATGAACTGTTGTAAGTCAAGGACTACCTGTACAACAAACTTTTTGGAAAGAATGGGAAAGTCCTAGAGCATTTGGAGAGGTTATCTCTCATTCCTACCCAAATAAAAGTCACTCCGGTTCAGTAAGAAGAAAATGGTCCCTTGTTTATCTAGATCAGGATATGGGGAAATGGCCCTTTCATGACTTGTGGACATGCATGGATGGCTCAGGAATTCTGGGAGTTGAAGTCCACAAGCCATAAAAGGGCCATCATTCCCCACATCTGATCTAGATCGAATATCCTATGTTTCCAAAGCTTGGTTTGCTACCTTTCACTTCATCTCCTTTTGCAGCATTGATCTTATCAAGCCATAATAAATTAATTAGGTGCCACAAGGTTCCGGATGGTTTTGTACAGCCACATACTATTCCTCTGGGGAAAAAATAAGAGGCATTGCAAATAAATCATTTGAGAGGGATTATAGTTTAATTGCCGTCAAGATCTTTCATCTGCACTGCATTTGATGTTTACATATTTCGCTATCTTTCTCCCCCACCCCCACCCCACTCGTTTTATTCATCTATTTACTGTTTACTTTCTTTCCTATTTCCCCATTAAAATAGATCTTCTTGAAGAATGGAAAGTACAGCTTTCAGGATCACCCATTGCCTACAGTAGAGATTTAAAGTCATAACACTACTTTGTTATATTATTTCCAGTCATAAGCTATTATCCAAATTTACCTCAAAGTGGCTAGGGGGAGAGACTGTCTTTCCAAGCAATGTTACCTGCTCTTCTCTGACAGGCCTGTGCTTATTTGCCTGTTTCAAGGAATCTTACAAGCCTTCCAATACGGTCTATCCATCTGTATACCCTTGTTGGTCTTTCTCTCTGCTTTAGATAAACCATCAGACCTACTGTAGACTTTCCAAAACTGTCTTGTTCAGCCAAGATCAGTTCAGGTACTCATACATCCAGGCATCCAAGCTTAATGACCTAAGTAGATTCTTCTCGAGCAGTCTGCAACACCTCTCAGTCCTCAGTTCCTCAGTTAATCTCCAAGTAAACAGAGAGAAAGCTAAAATGACTGGTAGTTAAGAAGGCTCATCCATCTTAAATCTGAAACTAAAGGATGTGTGAGTTGAAAGTGTGATGATTGGGGATAAAAACAAACTCTGAATTGAACTTGGGCTCAGAGATTTCTTTGGTTAATCTGCAAAACCTGAGGCCTGCTACCTATCTTTAAATGAAACAGGTCCCAGCCTTTTCCTGAATATTCAGGAA